TTATATCTGATATAGACACGGCTAAACTTTACGTTCAAATTTGTAGACCAGCTGATAACCCCAAACCTAAATACTGGTGCAATAATGAGTTGATCTAGATCAGAAGATTTTGAAGCCGTTTAATAAACTCACAGTTCGTGTTTTATCGTGTCTAAACTTAAAGGACTCCGAGTGGTCGCTTACAAGAGCTTAAAAAGAAAGGAAAAGTCCAGTTGGGTAATCCCAAAAGTGGTCGCGGTCGCTTACGAAAGCTTTTCATTATAAAGTTTAAGTCGCAGTTCTAACGGGGTTTCACAAAGGTAGTCGTAACTAGAGATGGTCGCTTACGAGAGTGGTCACAAGAGGAGCTTCGACTGTATATGAATATTTTAAGTATACTAGGTGAAGGATAGACTAACGCCTCATGCATAAAAGCGACAAAAAAAAAGTTTTAAAAACATCCTGCGCAAAATATAGAATTAACACGTGTCGGTTGTATAAATAGAGGATATTATTTTACATGTCCGCTTGCGGATACGAATTTTATCTTCGAGTGTTCGACTCGATATCTCACCCGTTCGCTGCACTCACTCGTGAGATATCGAGTTGAACTCGAGAAGACAAGATTCATATCCACAAGCGGGCATGTAATATTCTGTTTATTATATAAACATGCTAATGACACAAAAAGTTCGGAAGTTAAAAAGAACCAACTATTATTTTAAATCACGCCTTTTTTGTAACTATTTTCCGAAGATTTCCGAAGATTCTCCAAAAGCTGTCCGAAGGCCAGACAAACGTTTCCGAACATTTTCTGAAAATTTCCGAAGACCACCGAAGACTTCCGAAGATATCCGAAGAAGATCCGATGATGTTTCGATCACACAGCAACACATCTAAGTTCAGTTTAAGCAATTAGCATGTTGGTAACCATGGCGACACCAATATCCTCACACGTGAACGATAAAAAAATAGCATCTTCACTGCGCGCGATGAAGATATGATTTTTTTTAGTAAAAGGAGAAATCCTGGTATTTCACTAGTGTTTATATAATAAATTTCTTTCGTTTAGACAACACACTGCGGAAATAGCATGACTACCAGAAGATGTTTCGGCTTTAGAATTAACCGCTTGTAATTTTTCTCTGTACACTACTTGCGTCCCAGATAGACACCGGCTTCCATGAAACTGCGCAAGATTTCTGCTTGCGAATTTCGCAGATTATGAAACATTCGTAATTTTTTTTGCAAATACCATTTTTTTTTTCAGGGGGTGGGGGATTGGGCAATTTTTTGGGGCATGGCATTTGTTCTCACCTTTGGGTTGTGTATGATCTTTTAGCTCATGCAAGAATTGTTTTTAAAGTGGAACACAAGATGTGGATAATAGAAAGCACTTGCTTTATTTTTTCCCCATGGCTATGGCTCCCCTTCACATTTTTGTTTTTTTTTTGGGGGGGGGGGTGGGGGGCCTAGCCCCTCCCTCTCTTATGGTTCGTCTCTTAGATAGATTAATTTGTATACGGTACGAGTATTGCTCTTGGAAGTGAAAATGTTTTAGATAAGATAACGGCGAATAATTTAAATTGTTCATTGATATTTCGCATTGATGTGGTGATTTTATTACGAGTATTCCTTTTTCTAATTGAGAGGGATTTTTCTTCAACGGTCTCTAACGACTTTAAAGTTAAAGTTTAGAGTATTTATACACTGTTGTTCTATCGGTAGTTGTCTCTCGTCCATCTCGATTACTCCATTTTATTCAGTCCACCCCCGCTATCTATAAGAGGAGCTTTGCAATGACACTGAATAACAGCAATCTCACAATAAGTTTGTGTGTGGTTTCGACCTTCATCAAAATTGTTGGTAATAAATAATTTACAGTTTTTAGGTCTTACTCGCTAAGCAGCAGATCCTTCGAAATTGCGTGATCACACCGAAAGAGAAGAAAAAGAGGCGACAAACTCAGGTAAATCTCAACTTTCGTCTCAACACCTTTCCATTCTAACTAGATTACTATTTTTAGCGGGTTGCTAAAAATAGGTGTCATTGAAGCTTCACTTCAGTAACAAAACGCAGTTGCACTTCAGTATCAAGGAGGATGCATCTCTTCAAAAAAATCTGTTGTATTGATACACGAGCATTTTTGTTTCACCACAACTGTGATCATGTGACCTTTGGGTCCGATCATGAGGAGCGACTGGGAATAAGGAAAACTAGGGAAACGGTGTGTTTATTTTGCAAGCCTTCGGGCTTACAAAAAAAAAAAAAAAAAAGACATGGAATCTCAGAAATAAATCTATTTCCTAGCTCTGTTCGGAACTCAATTCGAAGATGTATTTATACTCCGCGTTAGCCTTGTAGGAAATGATGTTCACACTTCCTTGACGCGGTGAGTTAGGCCATGACGAAATCGTTGTTTTAGCTACGAGAGAGTTTCTCTTTCGAACCCAACGATGTTTGGACCTTTTTGAAAAAAACTCCAAGAAAACAAAGAATCGTCATTGTTTTCCTGAAATAAATATTTTAGACCAAAGTGATACAAAACATATCTTGTCGACAACATATATATTTACGAACATTACCAGATTTACTGATGGTAGCTTCTATTTCTTCACGTGTAAAAGACTGTTAACGCTGTAAAACGTCTGAAAAGGAGCCTAGAATTTCACCGAGGTTCAAGATTCATAACCATGTTCGTAAACTTATGAAGCGTCAAAACTCGTTAATGTTCAATTCAGTCATCTATCATCCGTCTTGTCATTGTTCAACACAAGTTCAAACATTAACTAATTAATGTTTTCTTTTTTCTGTTTTGGCTTTCCAATAAGGATCACAGTTTTCTAGCATACTACCCGATCGTAGCGGAGAGTTGTTGTGGATCGTTCAAGAACATAGAAAGCAAAATCGGAATTGTTTTACTCGCCGTTTTCAGCACTGTCCATGGAGACAAAGGTAAGTTTTTTTTCAGTTAAATAAACAGTTATCGAAACCACACATTGGACTTCGTTTTAATATCTCGGTCCTTAAGTTTAAAAAATGGTACCAATCGGGTAAAAGTTGTTTCTCTCTGAGTCACTTAATGAGACCGGTCTAATTTACGTAACTTTAGGATTTTCTGTCCTGGGCACGCTGTCACCGTAACAGTAATTGCTATTATTTTTTCCTTCTTTTAAGAATATTATAATTTGTTATTGTTATTACCAATATCTTACGTGTCAAGATTTTACATAGGTTGTCGATCAAGCTGAATTCATGTCCAGTACTGTGCTCGGTTGATCAATTCCACAAGGTTGCACTCTCTCGAGTACTTTTTCTCTCACACTAAAATTAAAGTAATTAATATACTGTACACGTATGGTGTACAGTATTTGCATACAGTTAATAATTTAAATGGTGTATTTAAGATGACACAGAAATGAAAAGAAACAAATAATTCTTTATTAACAATAAAATTGTATAATTGTAAGTTTCTAAAACCGGATACACTTTTATCGGGGGTTATATAGATCAGTCTAATGAAATGTAATTGATCTTCCATCTCTTTTGTGCTTGTTTTGCTAGACGGAGGTCGATGGGGATATGGACAGACAGGTATCAATTTTGTTACCTAAAAATAGGTGTGTCAATGCATAAAAGAAAGAGAGTTTACTGTCATCTTGTTACCAAAATTGCCGGACGAAAGCTTGAATTCTCCAAGGCCGTTTGTGTTGTTATGGCTGTTTTAACCCTTCTGTTAAGTTAAAAGCTCAGGTGAAAAGAGGAAAGAAACTTCTCCACCTCTCACTAAGCATTCGTTTAAGTGCTCAAGCATATATCATAGTAAATAAGAACATTTTTCGCCATTGGTTAACGACTAGTTTGTTCACTCAGGTCTGATAAGAATTATAGTTAGTTACGAAATTGTATTTGGGGTATGCGCAGAGAAACACGGCTTAGTGATATGAGTGCCTTTCAAAAAGATACGAGCTGAAGGTCCAAATCTGATAAGCGATTTGCGCCGCTGTTGATCATAATGATAACAATGTGCAACAGACCCCAAGAATGGAATGAAATTCACCAATCACAATCCACGGACCTCACTATTAAAACCTGATAAAGTACAATCATTTTGAGAGAGGTGAAGAGTTTATTATGCCATGGGTGCGAGATTGAGAACAAATCTGAACCCAATACCTCGGACGGGAGAACCTGGCTGAGTTTCATTACATTATTGATAGCCAGAATAAAAAGTTATTGAGGACAGTCCCTAATGTAATATTTATCAATGAAATGGAAATATACAGATTGAGGAAGAAGATCTATGTCATTATTACAGTTGCAACAATTTTCTTTCAATAAAGACTTCCCTAGACTGAGATAGAATTCCTAAACTGAGATAGAATTCCTAAAATCGGCAGCACATTATTTTGACAATCGTGTCCAATTTTAGTTTATGGTCCGGAAGACTGGGGTCTGGCCGCACCTTTATATACTAGGCAGTTCCAATCCCCCGTTGACATAATCACCAGCTCAGTCCTGACGAACTCAACCCATAGTGGCCTGGTGCTGACATTCGATAATACAGATGGTGCGATTACTGGATCCTTATCCAACAATGATCACGCGCCTACGGTGACCCTCGACAAGACCAAAAGTGGTGTTACACTCGCCGGGGGTCCTCTTGACCAAAGCACGTTTAGTCTGGAGAAGGTCCACTTTCATTTGGGTTGTAAAAATACAGTTGGGTCCGAACACACTGTGGATGGAAACTAGTACCCGTTAGAGGTTTAGATTTATCAATCAATATATACAAACAAATAAGATCCGAAGAATAAATTAGAAATAAGCATAATATGATCTAATAAATAACGATAAAAAATCTGGAGAGAACGTTCTATTAAAAAGTTTTCGCCTTCCTTTGGTGACCTTGTTGAAAGAATTCAATGACATTCCAATGTATCCGTTAAGGTGCCATTGAAACATTATCTTGAGAAAAGTCGTTGTTTATTCGGGGTCTGGGCTGATGGGGAAACCGGGTGGGGAAGTTAAGTTAATGAACGAGTTATCAAACAAAATCCTTGGACTATAAACAAATGCTAAATTTCAGGAATATCGGGTGTTACGGATAATGGATAACGATGGGTCCCAAGAGGGGAGCCAAATTCAGACTTACATTTTAATTTTTTTTTTTTTTTGACGTTAAATAGGCGAAGGAAGTTTTTGTTCCAATATAGGCTCTTACATAACCAATACAACTGGTCTGAATTCAGCTGTTTATTGGCAGATGCACATGGTGTTTTATAACACTATTTACTGCAGTTTTCAGGAAGCCGCGTCCAAATCTGATGGCTTGGCTGTTGTCGCAGTGTTTCTACAGGTATTTTATTTCCATCTCTTTAATTCCTACAGTTATAGCATTACAGAATGAGCTAAAAAAGACAGCATGAACGAATTCGAGAACGAACGACGTACAGTAAGTACGTGAGAATATTTATCGTCTAAAAATATCCTTAAAAAAAAACCCAGCAGTTTATGTCTAACTTTATTGGTAGATCCCATATAGATGTCTATCGACTGTATGTATAGTGAATCCAGTTAGCCTCCTTTGTCTAAGAGACGTTTGTCTGTCTTGGCGTTTTTTTTTTAATGGATTCAGACAATTCTATGCGCGATTGCCCTGGGGCATGTACGGACGACTAACCCGACTAGTGCTTCCTCTACCAAACTTGGTAACTTTGTTCACTTTGCAAAATGACCTTCACACCTCACGCTTTGCTTCATTCCTCTTCAGGTGAACGGAGAATTCAATGAATGGATGGAGAACATAGCTCTGTCGTTAAAGAATGTTAAAGTCCCCACTGGTAAATAAATAAATAAAAGAAATAAATATACATTTATATAGCGCCATTTTCCACTAATTTAAAATTAAAATCCTAAGTTTAAAATCCTAAAATTAAAATCCTAATCCTTTAAAGACCCAAAATCCTAAATCCTAAAAGTTAAAATCCTAAGAATTAAATACGCTATATAATACAATTAGGCTACAAATAAAAAGTAAAAACTACAAATCAAATGCACGCTTAAAAAGATAAGTCTTAAGATTAACCTTAAAAACTGCGTCTGATGATGAAAGTCTGATCTGGAGGGGTAGTTTATTCCAGAGCCTTGGTGCCGCCACGGAAAAAGCCCTTTCACCATACGTTTTAAGATTTGCTCTA